GTGGCTATCATGATGTCTTCTTGAAGAGCATCGAAGGCTCTCATGCAGTGGGAACCAATCTCCTCAACGATAAGGATCATGACAGCAAGGTTCAACTCAAAAGGAGGGAAGGTCACAATCATACAATGCTACACTACGCACCTACAAATAATGCAGACCAAGAGAAGAGGGAGGAATTCTACAGACAACTGAAATCAGTACTAGACAAAACCCCAGTTATCGACATCAAAATTCTAACGGGCGACATGAATGCCAAACTGGGAGCTGACAACACAAGAAGAGAACTGACTATGGGTCGAGAAGCGCTCGGTGAGGTGATGAACGAGAATGGAGAATTGTTTGCAGAATTCTGTGCATTCAACGATTTGGTGATTGGAGTCAGGCAGTGTGTTCAAGCACAAGGATATCCACAAAGCCAGCCACATGGATTCGATTTCACCAGACACCAGGACACACTACACTGAAAACCAGATCGAGTTTATCTCAATGTGGGGAAAGTGGAGATGCAGTCTACTTGACACAAGGTCAAGAAGAGGAGCAGATGTAGGTTCAGACAACACACTATATAGTATAAGGAACCTTCCAAATCAAGTTAAAAGCCTTCAAGGAAGCTGGTGATAGACCACAGTTCAAGTACAACACTCGGAACAGAAACTGAAGGATGAAACTATAAAGCAAATCTTCACGTCAGCCATCAAGACAAAATGGGATATATCGAGGAACATGTGTGAAGAAACCTGTGTGGAAGAACACTGGAAGTCTTTGGAAGAGATGTGGAAAGAAACCTGCACAGCTGTATTAGAAAGGAAGAAGAAAGAAGATGAGGAATGGATCTCGATGAATGCATGGAAGCTGATAGAGTAGGTAGAGGAGGATGGTGAAGCAGAAGATGAACCAGTGCAAGGATGCACAACGACAAGAAGAACTGATTACAATGTATAAAACACTATACTGGACAAAGAAGTGAAGAAGAGTGCACGGAGACAAAAAAGACACTTCTATGACACATTGACAAGTGAAGCAGAACAGGCTGTAGGTAGGAGGGACAGAGACCTGACAACATTGTATCAAATAACCAGGTAACCTGCTGTCTGGGAAGAGATCAACGCAGATGAAACCAATAAAAGATGATGACGGAAATTTAATCACGAAAGAAGAGAAACAAAGGAAAGAATGGGCTGACCACTTCGAGAAGCTCTTGAGTCGACCACTACCTGCACTTCATCCAGAAATACCACCTGCAGCCCAGTCACAGAAATACAAGTCAACATAAATCCTCCAACGAAAATGGAAGTCCTGAACGCCATAAAGCTACTGAGATGTGTGAAAGCAGCAGGACCGGAAGAGATCCCACCAGAAGCACTGAGAACAGACGCAGAGACAACAGTGGACATGCTCACACCACAGCACTATTGCAGAAGGTGTGGAAGGAAGAGAAGGTACCTGGCCATTGATTGGAAGAAGCGCCACTCTGTCAAACTCACAAACAAGGGAGACCTCAGTGTTTGTAAGAAATGTCACAGAATCACTCCCCTGTCAACCCAAAACAAGCAAAATATTAAGCCACATCATCCTGGAGAGGCTGAAGGATGGGCTGGATTCAAAACTACGACCGGAAAAGGCAGGCTGAATTCAGGAAGTACAAATCATGTGTGGACCAAATTACAACGCCACTCTACACATCATCATGGAGTAGAGCATAGAATGGCAGTCAACTCAACTCTACCTCAACTTCATCGACTCTGAGAAGGCCTTCAACAGCGTCGACTGAGAGGTATTTTGGAAACTGCTTCAATACTACGAAATACCACAAGCCTTTATCAATCTCATTCAACAAGTATATGAAGATGCCACTTGCCAAGTAATTCACAATGCGAAGCTCAGCTCACTGACGCCTCTGAAGTGAAGTGAAGTGATGTGAAGACAGGAGTGAAACAAGGCTGCCACCTACTATCACCCATCATATTCTCGATTATCGTCGACTGGACTGGATCATGCAGCAAACAGTGGTTAGCGAGAAGAGGGGGATATGCTGGTTGGACAGTGGAAAGGAACATAGGAGACTTTGATTTCGCCAGTGATGACTTGTGTCTAATGTCTTGTCGCACAGACTGGAAGATGTACAGACGAAAACTACCAAGTTGTCAGAAGAGGCAGGACAGGGCAGGGCAGCGAAGACGGGACTCCCTTCAGGTGAATATGGAGAAGACGGAGGTGATGAAGATATCCAAACAACAACTCCAACAGCAACAAACTCCAATCACGATGAAAGGGAGAAACTTGAAGAAAGTAGTCTCTTTCACCTACACCTATCTAGACAATGCAGCACCGTTCCAACTACAGGTGGCACAGGCACAGACGAGGACGTCGAAGCCAGCCACGATCGGGAAGACTGCAAGATAGACCTTCCTTCATTAACTTGAAACCAATCAGTGTCAGTGTGGAGATCTTCTGCACTTAGCATGTGAAACAAGATCTGGATTTTGAACACTAATGTCAATCAAGTCAGTGCTTCTATGTGGTGGTTGATAGACTTGGTGCGTTACGAAAGGTATTTCCAACAAACTACAGACATTCACCAACAACTGCTTACGCTCGTTGCCGTAGATCAGATGTCCAGAATAACAAGAATAAGCAAGGAGGAACTCTGGCTGGCTGTCAACGAACCAACGAAGCAAGAATTTATCGCTGAACAAATATGCAGTGGAAGGAAGTGGAGATGGATTGGATTGGGCATAGAGTGAGTAGGCCGACTGGGGACATCATGCACCAGGTCAGGTACTCGAGTGGAACGTAGATGGGAAACGATGATTTTGGCGTCTGAGGTGAGTGTGACATGGAGAAGATCGTGGGAGGATGAAATGAGAGGTTGTGGGCAGTGGTGGAGGCAGGTTTTAAGATTGGAGAGAAGAGAGTGTAATTGGGATGTGCTAGTGAATTCGTATGTTCCATTAGGAACTCAAGTGACAAATAATAATAACAATAACAGGAATAATAATATTAGTTACTTGCAAATGATAACAGGTTTCTTCTATGAATTAATTATTTTCGTTTTAAGAAATTCTTTTCCATGCATTATGATGATTTTCCTCAACGATGCCTTCTTTGTAGGAACTCTTGGCTTTATTGTGTTCCTTGATTATCTGGGTTGTTTAATAGTGAAGCTTTCGTCTTCTTTCTAGACAGCGACATCATCAGCACTAACCTCATTATCAAGTGGGCTGTTAATATCTCTCCGTCAGTGATTTAGTAGCTTGTCTTGACGAATTGGTCCGTGATTGGTTGTTCCCTTTGATTGTTGTGTAATTGACTGACTGTGTAGACTCTCCTGTTGGCTGTTCCTCTACTTCACCTCTCACCTTTCTGTCGTTTATCATTTTTCTTATTGATTGATAGATAGGGTCTATGTCTATACATCTATTGATTGCTGACTGACTGACCTGACTATCAAGCTTCTAGGACTTCTCTCATGACATTCTTTGTGTTTCCTTTCTCCATAACAGATTTCTACATTGTCGAAATTGAAATCATGTCCATAATTATCCATGTGCATTGAAATGAGTGATGAGATGTTGTGTGTGATGTTTAATAGCCAATTTGTGTTCATGTAGACGAAGGCAAAGAGGGCGATCACTTTGTCCAATGTGTAGTGCTGACTACAGTTATTGGAGTTGATTTTGTAAATGATATTCGGTTTGTCTTCTATGGTTGTTGCATTCTTTCGTCAACATAATAGTGTTTGCAGGTAATTTGTTGGTTTATGAGTTGCCACACCAATTCCACGAAGTGGTCTCAGTAATCTTGTCATGATTTCTGATCTATTCTTTATGTATGGTAGGATGATGCATTTATTGATTCCTGTCGATAACTTTGTAGTTCATGATGTAAGGGATAAGCATCTTATGATAATCGATCAAAAGAAACAACCAATCATAGACCACTTCGTCAAGGCAAGCTACTAAAACACTCACAGAGAGATATTAACAGCTCACTTCATACTGAAGTTAGTGCTGATGATGTCGCTATCTAGAAGGAGGATGAAAACTTCACGATTAAACAACTTAGCTACTCAGAGAACACAATACAACCAAGACCATCCACCTGAGCTACAAATATTCTCGACTATTGTAAGAACTCCCTATCAACGTTTTTTTTCATTGTCTCCATGTTTCTTTTGATTGGTTGTCCTGATGACCTGAAATCTCACCTTCTTGTTGTGTCGTAAATGTTGACAGATTGATTCAATGTCAATTAGTTTGTTGATCGCAAATATGACGTTAACACTAAACTTGTAAAATTCTCAGAAGCTTAGTATACAGGTCAGTTAGTGATCGACAGACGTATCGACATTGATCTAATCTATCTAACAATAAAAAGAACAAGAAAGTCAACTTCCAGCTTAGCAAGACAACCAATTGAAATAACTATTGAGACAATGACAAGACTTTGAGAGAAACAATCAGTCAAGCATAAGGTCATCAGAACAAACTACTAAGCCACCCATAGTTTATGCTGATGTTGTGTCTAGAATGACAATGCTAAGCATGCGAACAGTAGTGATAATAACAATAATTTACTTGGTTGTGGCTAGCAGAAGAATCCAGGATGTTTGTCTCGTCCTATTTGGTACTCGTCAGCTGGATGTATCTGCACCCTAGAGAGTGATGTTGTTTAAGAGGTGGCTATTGTGCCCCAATGATCTATTGGATAAGGCTTTGACGTTTGAAGCAATAGGCATGTGGTTCGAGTCTCAGTGGGAAGAATATCATTCATTGGCGTGCAAATACATCCAGCTGATGAGTCCTAGGTAGGACGAAACAGGCGTACTAGATTCCTCTACTAGCCACAACCATGTAGGTTATCATAATAAATACTTAGGCAATATCGAGGCATCTGCATAGGTTGATCAGTATGATTGAATAAAACAATTTAGAATTACAAGCATATTAATAAATAGTAATCAGTAATAATTATAATAAACCATTGGATTTTGTACTTACCCAAGGTGGAACAGCAATGATATCAGCTGATCTATGGTGATAATTTAACACGAGTACAGTGAATACAATAGATAATGAGCACATAATCATTGTACACGAAAAGTAGATTCCTGTTGTATAGATGTAAAGGAACGACGATTATAAAATTAACGATACTGGCAGAACAAGGAAATCAATATATAAGTCAGTAAAAAAAAAATGGAATAAACATATTGATACTGTTTAAGACAAGAACAACACACCAGAGATATGGAGTACCAGTTGTATAAAGAAAGGGAACGGGCAACTTCAATTTGAATGGTAACAAATACTCCATCGTTGACGGCTTGAATGACGCATAGAAGTAAGTGAAACAATATTCCCATAACAAAGTGTACAGAAACTTGAATAGTTCTAACAGGCTCTGTAACAAGTGTTGAAATAACCAATCAGATTTCACTTTCTTCCATTGAAAAAAACTACCTTTCTAGGTGAAAGAAAGAAATCTAATTGTTTATTTAAGTAATATATAGAGTGACATGTATTGACACTCATGAAGCGGCAACCACATGACAGCGTTACAGTTACATCTTCTAATTATCATTTGGTCCCTAAATACTGTAGACTAATAGAAGTTTAAAAGTCTACACTGTTGTGTTCCAATATAATGAATGAGTACCAGCATACTCATTATTTCTGGATGATATTTATTACGGGGTATCGGTTGCCCACCTGTGGGGTATCCCTTGGCATTTCGAGTTTTCAGTGGTTCTAGTTAATGTTTAATCATAATGAAAGTACCACAAAAGTGGCACTATTTCAACTGAAATAAAAAAAAAATCAGTTTGTAATAACAGATTAGTGTACGTGACGCAGTTTGTCAGTGAACTGGTTACAATAAAGATGATTCACTTATCGCATCTATAATTAAAATGCTGTTGATGACCAAGTTGACACTTGATACATATGACAATTCCAATGCCAAAACTCCTATAGACAGAATGATTTTTTGATATTCTTTGACATCTAGCTATGCGTACTCTTATTCCAAACATTTTAAAGAAGGATTGTTGGTTAGTCACTCAATCAATTTCATCACAAACTGCCATCAACATGTTTTACTAGTCTCCCGTGTTTGAATTCTTTTAGAACTTCATTTCCTAAGTGGAATTCTAGTCTTTGAGTTATACAAACGCGTATAGTGATGCATAGAATGAATTGATTCAATTCGAAACCATTTCACTAAGAATCTGTAACCATTTATATTGACTTCCTCCTAGAGACCAAAAAAGAAGAATTAAGTCTTCTATAGAATTGAAACTGACAATCAGAGGTCTCACGAATTCATGCCATATCTTGATCTAATCAAAAAATACATTATATTATTATTATTATTTGTCCCTTGGGTTCCTAATGGAACATTGGGATTCAATAACACGTCTCCATTACACTCTCTTCTCTCCAATCTTTAAAACCTGCCTCCACCACTGCCCGCAACCTCTCATTTCTTCCTCACACCATCTCCTGCATGTCAAACTCACCTCAGACGCCCAACTCGTCGCTTCCTCTCTTCGGTTCCAGTCGACGACCTGGCCTGACGCGTGATGTCCCCAGTCGGCCTACTCACTCTATGCCCAATCCAATCCATCTCCACTTCCTTCCACTGCATATTTGTTCAGCGATAAATTCTTGCTTCGTTGGTTCGTTGACAGCCAGCCAGAGTTCCTCCTTGCTTATTCTTGTTATTCTGGACATCTGATCTACGGCAACGAGCGTAAGCAGTTGTTGGTGAATGTCTGTAGTTTGTTGGAAATACCCTTCATAACGCACCAAGTCTGTCAACCACCACATAGAAGCACTGACTTGATTGACATTAGTGTTCAAAATCCAGATCTTGTTCCACATGCTAAGTGCAGAAGATCTCCACACTGACACTGATTGGTTTCAAGTTAATGAAGGAAGGTCTGTCTTGCAGTCTTCCCGATCGTGGCTGGCTTCGACGTCCTCGTCTGTGCCTGTGCCACCTGTAGTTGAACGGTGCTGCATTGTCCAGATAGGTGTAGGTGAAAGAGACTACTTTCTTCAAGTTTCTCCCGTTCATCGTGATTCGAGTTTGTTGTTGTTGTTGTTGTTGGTGGTGGTGGTGGTGATGGTGTTGCTTGGGTATCTTCATTACCTCCGTCTTCTTTATATTCTCTATATTCTCTTCGCTGCCCTGTCTCTTCTGTCAACTTGTTAGTTTTCGCCTGCAGTTCTTCAAGTTTGTGCGACAAGACATTAGACACAAGTCATCACTGGCGAAATCCGAGTCTTCTAGGATCTTTTCTCCGATCCAGCGTATCCCCTTCTTCTCGCTCCTGACAGTTTGTTGCATGATCCAGTCCAGTCGACCACAATCAGGAATATCATGGGTGAAGCCAAAAAATAGCATCCATATATTCTATTCATACTCCAGAATGCGCACAACAATAGAGGTACATGTTTGTCTGACAAAACTGTATTCAATAATTTTTATTCACCTTTCCAGGATTTCAGCAGTTAAGTTGTTTTTGAACTCTAGTTTCTTACTATACTGTAGACCTTTTATCTGCCACTAGATACCTCAGGAAATGTAGTTGGTGGCTGAATGATAACACGATAACCACGACAGCTGGAGGTTTTAGGTCTGATTATTACCATGATTGCAGGTGCCCACCCCTAAGGAGTTCCATACTGGGGAGAAACAACTATCCACTCTTTCCTGATTTGTAGTTTCTGACGAAAACCACCTTCTACTTTTCAACTGTAACATACAGTCGAACATGACAAGACGAAATGAATACTTCAGCTGTATATTGTAATTCTAAATGCGAATAGGATGCATTTCTGTCAACTGTCTACCGTTTCGAAATGTTACCTAGTTAATCAAGACCTGGTTATTCTGGCTAAACTTATGGGGAAAGAGTATACATCAATCAGTAGAAGTTTCATGAGGATTTGCTTTGTTTATATCAGTCTTGCGATACACTATTCAGACGTATTTATTTACGTTAATACCCGATGACTACTTACAGTTTAGCCGGTTCTCATGATTTTGTAATTTGAAAGTATACGCCTACGAGAACTCCTATTTTGACACTGAATAGATAGTTTCAATCGAATTCTACGGAGTCACCTTTTATTGTCTAGGAGGTCTCAGAATGAACTAATAGTGATTAAATGCCAAATTTTAACACTTTTTTGTTCTATATCTCATTCTACACTATTTTCGCCCATTTTTATTACTTTTGCTTGAATCCTAATGAATTTGCATCACTTTTAACGCTACTTAATATATACTACTTATATACGCTCTTATAAGTAGCTTGAACTGAAATTTTAATTTTTAATTGAAAACTGTGATCAAATGCTTTAGTTCACACTTTCAATGTAATAATTCTCAACTTACCAATTAATGGTATAGCTTCTGAAGTCTGTGGAAGTTTATCTGCTACAAGTTGTAGAAACATGGTCAACGATAGGAGTATTGTTACACCTGAAATAATAGTAAATGATACAGAGAGAAATTGTTGATTACGCTTAAAAGTGGGAGTAACGAAAAGTTATACATCAATAGTGAGTTTTATGTAACCATGTCTGGTAGTTTTTTATTCGACTCAACCGTGTAAACGTACTGGATAAAGTATTGAATACAAGTTTACTAAGTGATGAAATAACCTCATAAAAGGATAACTTCACGTTCATGATATCACTAAGATTTTCAGCCAAAAACAGTTTACTTTAACGACTTTATTCCTAAGCTTGATATCCTTCCTCATACGATGTTTGAAGACTACAATCCTTGACTGTTGTATCCGTAGTGAGAAAGAATGAGACCAATAATCGGTAAATGACAAATATCTTCCATATGTCTTTCTTCATTAACGATCTGATTAAGCCGTTTATGCTTTCAAGGCGTTGTATATTTTTAAGCACAGATAATTTCACATTCTGTGGGTTAACAATGAAACTTGGCCTTTTCTTTGAGCCAACTGGCGTGAAATTAGTGGCTATAGGATCAACTTGTAAAAGTAACTCGAGGGGGATAATTCTAGCTGGGACCAGAGTTGAGCAATTTTTTCACTGTGTTAATCAAAGGACCTAATATGAAATGTAAACCGAGACTAAGACTGAAACATCGATAAAACCATTCAGACAGAGACATAACAGTAAGGGAGTTTAAATTCACATGATGGATGACAGACTCAGAGATGCTCTTGAAGTGAAGACAGGAGTAAGACAAGACAAAGTTGCCGCCTAATATCACCGATCATCTTCCTGGCTGTGGTCGGCTGGACTGGACTGAATCATGCAAGAAACTGTGAAGAGTGAGAAGATGGGGATACGCTGGCTGTTTGACCGATAGAAAGACCTTAGAAGATCTGGATTTCGCCCATCACGTATTACGCCGCACGCACTCGAAGACGTACATTCGAAAACTAACAAGTTGGCAGAAGAGGCGAGGCAGTGAAGACGCGACTTCTTTCAGGTAAAGATAGAGAAGGCAGAGGTGATGGAGATGCCCAACCAACAACAAGCACCGATCACCATCAACAGGGGAAATGTAAACGAAGGTGTATCTTTCACCTACCTACTTAACTAACTAACTAACTAACTAACTAACTAACTAACTAACTAACTAACTAACTAACTAACTAACTAACTAACTAACTAACTAACTAACTAACTAACTAACTAACTAACTAACTAACTAACTAACTAACTAACTAACTAACTAACTAACTAACTAACTAACTAACTAACTAACTAACTAACTAACTAACTAACTAACTAACTAACTAACTAACTAACTAACTAACTAACTAACTAACTAACTAACTAACTAACTAACTAACTAACTAACTAACTAACTAACTAACTAACTAACTAACTAACTAACTAACTAACTAACTAACTAACTAACTAACTAACTAACTAACTAACTAACTAACTAACTAACTAACTAACTAACTAACTAACTAACTAACTAACTAACTAACTAACTAACTAACTAACTAACTAACTAACTAACTAACTAACTAACTAACTAACTAACTAACTAACTAACTAACTAACTAACTAACTAACTAACTAACTAACTAACTAACTAACTAACTAACTAACTAACTAACTAACTAACTAACTAACTAACTAACTAACTAACTAACTAACTAACTAACTAACTAACTAACTAACTAACTAACTAACTAACTAACTAACTAACTAACTAACTAACTAACTAACTAACTAACTAACTAACTAACTAACTAACTAACTAACTAACTAACTAACTAACTAACTAACTAACTAACTAACTAACTAACTAACTAACTAACTAACTAACTAACTAACTAACTAACTAACTAACTAACTAACTAACTAACTAACTAACTAACTAACTAACTAACTAACTAACTAACTAACTAACTAACTAACTAACTAACTAACTAACTAACTAACTAACTAACTAACTAACTAACTAACTAACTAACTAACTAACTAACTAACTAACTAACTAACTAACTAACTAACTAACTAACTAACCAACTAACTAACTAACTAACTAACTAACTAACTAACTAACTAACTAGGCAGCATCGTTTCAACTACAGATGCCACATATGAGGACGTCAAAGCCAGCATCGGAAATACGGTAAGACGGATCTTAACTAACCTGAAACCAGTGTGGAGAGCTACTGCGCTGCACTGCACTATATTGCACTCAGCATAAAGCGTGAACAGGATGGGAATTTTTAACACTGATTCAGTCAAGTAAGTTCGTGCTTCTATATGATGATTAAGGGATTTCGCGCGTTACGAAAAGCATTTCCAACAAAATACAGACATAAATGAACAGCTGCCACCTATGCTCACTCGATACTGATGATGAGATCAGAAGGCCAGAAAGCATTAGCAAGAAGCAACTCTGGTCTGGCATCGAACCAACGAAGCAAAAAGTTATCTCCCAGCAGATATGCACTGGAAGAAAGTGGAGATGGAAATGGATTGGGAATAGACTGAGAAGATGGTTTGGGGTCATCACGCTTCAGGCCAGGCCAGGCCGTGGAGTGGAACCCAAAGGGGAAACGACGTGTTGGGTGTCCGATGGTGACATGGGTGAAATTTTGCAAGGAGGAAATGGAAGGTTATCTGCAGTGATGCAGCCAGATTGAAAAGACTGGAGAGAAGTGGGTGAAGTGGTGACATGCTACAGAATTCCTATGTTCCACTAGGAACCCAAAGGACAAATGATGATGAGTGATGGATGACAGAAACTATTACGGTAATGATGGTTATTATCCTAGTAATATTACTAGTAGAAAATGTTGGTAATGAATGGTCATAAGAACAGGTTGGTTACATAAAAGTTTTACAGAGTCAAGCATAGTCAGCTCCACAGGAGCATATGTACATATTGACGCATGTAGATGTAAACATAAGCAGCAACCTACCCTCCAAGCAAAGTCGAATCAAACGACAGCTCCGAAATATCATCCACAGTGTAGTAGAATATAAGGTAATTCGATTTTTATTGATATATTAGATTTATCATACAGTGAAGGAACAGTATTGTTTACTGGATCACGTTTCCCACATAATTTATGTTGTCCATAGTCATCATCATCAAGATAACTATACAACTTTCAGATATCCTTCATATAGTCCCAATTTCCTCATCTCTTTGTCACATGGCTAGTAAGATTTTCGATATATCCAGAACAGGTACTGAGTCATTCCTGTTGTTATATGTGTTAGGTGATGGTTAATTCGATAATCAAAGATGCAGTCAGTTATCAATCTCTCCCTCCCTCCACCCTGTTATGTTAGTTTTAAGAATTTTCACCCTGTCCCATCCTATTGTGTGGTTGTATGTAATTGCATACATAGGTATGACTGAGTCTCCCTTTTCTAAATTCCTTACCTTACTAGGATCTACCAATGTTGACCTAGGTAGGTTTTTGTGTTCGGATAGCCTAATTGATCCTGGTCGACTAGTTTAACTGATCTATTTATTCGACCTCACAATCGTTGTAAGGGATTTGGTAAACTAAGATATTCTGCTTAATTGAGTCAATAGGATCTTTTAACCTACAAAGCCATCAAACAGAGGATCTTAAACAACAAAGCAGATACATTAAAGATGCCTTAATCATCAACAATTACCCTCCCAGATTAATTGATAAGCTCCTTGGGAATTGTAGGGAAAATATCAATAACACAGTTATTATTATTATTATTAGTAATAATAATGGCAATAACAGCAACAACAATAGTAATAATAATGTTGATAATTATGTTAATAATAGTAGTGGCAATACTGTGAATAGAGAATTCAAATCCACTACAGTATTACCATACAAAGAAGACACCTGAGAAACACTACATGGAATTCTCAATAAGGCTGTGCGAGATTGGAGTGGCATTTAAACCTACAAACTCACTTCGAAATAAGCTCTGTAGGTTAGAAGATCCCATCGACTCAATTAAGCAGAATATCTTAGTTTACCAAACCCCTTACAACGATTGTGAGGTCGAATACATAGGTCAGTTAAACTAGTCGACCAGGAATTTAGAAAAGGGAGACTCAGTCATACCTATGTATGCAATTACATACAACCACACAATAGGATGGGACAGGGTGAAAATTCTTAAAACTAACATAACAGGGTGGAGGGAGGGAGAGATTGATAACTCACTGAATCTTTGATTATCGAATCAACCATCACCTAACACATACAACAACAGGAATGACTCAGTACCTGTTCTGGATATATCGAAAATCTTACTAGCCATGTGACAAAGAGATGAGGAAATTAGGACTATATGAAGGATATCTGAAAGTTGTGTAGTTATCTTGATATGATGACTATGGACAACATAAATTATGTGGGAAACGTGATCCAGTAAACAATACTGTTCCTTCACTGTATGATAAATCTAATAAATTAATAAAAATGGGGTTACACTCTACCACATGGCATAAGGTCTACTCTTATACTTAAGAATATAAGATTTTACTGATACATTTCAATAGACAGTTTTTCAATGCTTATTTCGTCTAGAAAGGCAGTTGTTCATATATTAAAGAAAACTAAATGGTTTTTCCAACATTTACTAAGGTAATATTGAAAATTACTCTTTGCGTGTATTAAAACGAATACCAAAGTAAGAAGTAACTAATTAGAATTACTTAACTCCAAAATTTTTAAAAGAGTTTCTAGTCCGCTATTATGTGAACAGTAATTTCGATTTTCATAGGACTTTCATGGTTGCTACACAACAGAAACTTAACTTTAGGCAGGTGTATTAATGAGATAAATTATATTATTATTTGTCCCTTGGGTTCCTAATAAAACATAGGGCTTCACTAGCACGTCTCCATTACACTCTCTTCTCTCCAATCTTCAAACCTGGTTCCACCACTGCCCACAACCTCTCATTCCCTCCTCCCACGATCTCCTCTATGTCACCCTCACCTTAGACGCCCTCGTCGTTCCCTATCTGGGTTCCACTAGAGTTCTTGGTTGGTTCGTTCTCAGAGTTCCTTGTTGCTTATTGTTTCTGGCCTTACCATCTGATCTTCAGTAAGGAGCCAGCGTAGGCAGTTGTTGATGAATGTCTGTCTGAGATAAATTACTAGTCATCCATTAAAACTCGGCACGTTTCTGATTCGAGGTTCTTGTATGCAAACTACAGTTCGGCGCCATCAGTATTCTAAATTCCTTCAGTTGAAATATGTAGTAAGGAAAATAGGACTTCAAGGACATATTAAAATGAGATACATTTCGACATTCTCAGAAGGAAATGGATATGACAGATCATAAACTATGGAGTTAGCTAAGTCATCAGTGGGGTGAATGTTAAACCATGGGATTAAAGGACAATCACGTTAAATGGTAAGTTGGTTGAAGTGATTGAGTAGTGCGTGCTCATAGTGAGATTTGATCATTATTCGCTGTATCTCACAAGTAGTCATAATTGAGTACTTTCGAAGAGTTGGAGAGTAAGATGATAACAACTCTAAAGTGATAAAAAAAACATCAAATCTACTCACCTAGTGATATTTTTTCACCAGCATCCGGTGGCAACATAAATACCATTAAAGCCATTCCAGAGATTAAAAGACAAGGCACAATTAAATTGAATACATAATAAAGTGCACGTCGTTGAAGTTTAATAGCTATTTTCACATCAACAAAATCATAATCACAACATTCGTATCTTTGAGCATAACGTCGAACTGAAGCATCTAAAAGATAAATTAGAAAGGGGAAAAAGAAAAATAACAACGATATAATTATTTGTATGTTAGTTTGGAACCTCACCTGGTTAACTAGTTCACTAGTTACTAGCCCGTCCTAAGCCCACATAAAGAGGGAAGGTTCGGCATAGGGCTAGCAACCCTATCCCCTAAAACAAATCCAACCGCTAAAGAAACTTCAAAGCACAAACAAAATATAAAAAATCATAACAAAATTATTCCTCACTGGAATCGGAGAGGCGAAATGATGCCAGTTGGTGAAAGCCTTCGGGAAGCCGATTGGCCGATGTGTCTTCTCTCGATGAAAGCGAAAGTAAAAGTGGGGACATGGAATGTCCACACCATGTTTGAACTCAGTAAGGCAGCCCAAATCGCAAACGAGATGAAGAGGTATCATATTGAAGTGCTTGGAATTTGTGAAAGCAGATGGAATGGGAGTGGACTCTCCAAACTGTCAACTGGAGAATCAATAATCTACTCCGATATTGTCACCCAGACGACAACCACGAGCACACTGAGTTTTCAAGTGGCTATCATGATGTTCCCATCAACAGGAAAAAGTTAAAGAAGTAGCCTCTCTCACCTATCTAGACAGCACTGTTTCAACTACAGGCGGCAAAAGGCAGAGACGAGGAGGTCAAAACCAGGATTGGAAAAGCAAACCAGGCGTTCATTAACCTGAAACCATTGTGGAGATCTTCTGCACTACACTCAGCATAAAGCGTGAACAGCATCCGGATATTCAACACTACCAATGTCAATCAAGTCAGTGTTTGTATGTGATGGTTGAGAGACTTGGCGCGTTACGAAAGGCATTTCCAACAAACTATAGGTATTCACTAACAACTGCCTACGCTGGCTTGATACTGAAGATCAGATGAGAAGACGAGAAAGAATAAGCAAGAAGGAACTCTGACCTGCAAACCAACCAACGAAGCAAGAAGCTATTGCTCAACAAATATGCAGTGGAAGGAAATGGAGATGGATTGGGCATACACTGGGAAGACCGACTGGGGACATCACGCACCAGGTCAGGCACTCGAGTGGAACCCAGATAGGAAACGGCCAGTTCAGCGTCCGAGGTGACGGTGACATGGACGAGATCGTGCTAGGAAGAAATGAGAGGTTGTGGGCAGTGGTGGAGCCAGGTTTTGAAGATTGGAGAGAAAAGAGTGGAATGGAGACGTGCTACTGAATCCCTATGTTCCATTAGGAACTCAAGGGACAAATAATAAATAATAATAATAATAATGTTAGTTCGGAAAGAGTCTTCATGCGTATTTACGAATGCTTGTTTTTAAATTCATGTAAAATGTATTGGGAACTATGTATGGATTGGTAACCGATGGAACCCGAATATTCTCGGTTCGATCCCCGTCAGGAGGTGAGGGTTCGTGGGTGTTCACTAATGAGGAATTCTGTACTAAGACAGGAAAGTTAGTCAGTGCTCTTGGTCTCTCTATGATTCTACAGCTGTGATGAATATCAACTTGTAATCCATAAATAAATCCTTACAAACCTCCTAAATTGAATAGCAAACAAGTAAATGAGTGGTATCAAGTTGGTTTTTATCATGGACTGTCATCAGTTAGAAGAATATCGCAAACCCGGGGGCTGTTCTGTCCTGCTGTGGGACTCAGCAGTGCGCACCCAGGATCCCGCCGGGGGTCGAACTCAGGACCTCCAGGTCCTGTGGCAAGCACGTTACAACCGATCTACTGGGTCACAATCCAGTGGTTCATATTTCTAACTTCTACCAGTTCACAACAGAAACCAATAAATCCTCACAAACCCCTAAAGTGAGTTAATCTAGCTTCGAGAGGTGATTCCTGAAGTTCCACTGAGAAGCCGTGACCAGTGGGGCAAACCTAGTGACCGTGAGGACAACTATCCAACGATGACATTAGGTGATGGTCACGCTATGCCGTGAAATGACGGAACTAGGAAATATAGACCATTAAATTCTGATACAGCAGCTCAATGGTAACGTGCTGGACACAAAACCTGTAGATCCTGAGTTCAATAACTGGAGGGTGGGGTTACGGATGAGCACTGTTGACATGGCTAACAATAGAGAGTATAGTGGTTGAGTGTGTTAACAACTTCACTTACCCGGGAATTAGGATCAGCCCTCCCTGGTGGCCCGGTGGCCGATGAAATCTCTTCACAAATACAAAAGGCTCGACTGGTTTTTGCCAACTTACACCACCTGCCGTGCCTCCACGATATCCAATCGTCTATTAAGGGTCGCGTGTACTGCACAGCAGTCCTCTCTATTCTATTGTTGGTTGTGAAGCATGGCCATTGAGGGTGGAAGATAGAAGAATGCTTCAAGTGTTGGACCACCGTTGCCTTCGTAGTAGTATAGGCCGTATTCCATTGTGTCACCACGTGAGTAATGCAGAGGTAAGTCAGTTGACATGGTTGTGAATCATCATTGACTGAGATAGTTGGGACATGTGTTACGCATACCTAGTCACCGTCTCCCTCGTCACACAATGTCGGCCGAAGTAGGTTGAGGCTGGAGGTGGCCAGACTAAAACATGAAATCAATGTATGAAGTCTCTGACTGTTGGTTTGAGCCATATAAAGCGACGCAGACCAGCTGGTTATGATCTGGGAGACGACAGAAATCAGTGATTGGAGATATGGTAGGCAATATGGCGCATAACCGGTATCAGGTGTGGAGATGTATCCCCACATACAATATCCTCATCTTAACGACGCTATACCGAATCTCACCATTTTCTCATTGTTTCTTCCTCTCTCTTTTCGTACTTTATTTCCCTTTTGACTGAATTTTCTTTTCCTTCATCCTCCATTTCACTGCCATTTTAGTTGGTGTACTGATATGAACTGTGGCAACTAAAACCGTTACGCAGTAATGCCTAATCGTATATTGATTTGGATTGATGGATGAACTGCTGAGGAGTGGCAGACTAGGACGAAATATCTGTCCTCCAACTACTATCAGTTCATAATGAATACTAACTTGAAATCGATAAAGCTTCACAAACCTCCAAATTATATTAATGGTCGTTGTATGTTAGCATCATATAATGAAGGTGAATTAGACTAGATTGGAAAAGATAACTGAGAGAGAAAAGATTGATAGAACAAACTTTAAGTATTTCAAAATACCGAATACACCCATTTGATCATAGGAAAAGACAAGACATGGTTTCAGAGAAGAGGAAATTTTTATTTTCCACGAAGTCATTTACTAAACTGTACATTCGTGAATAGATATGTTACAGTAGGTAGAATGTTCCAGAATTGTTTCCAGTCAGCGGGCAAAATATATTAAATGATGAAAGGAAGTTAATTAATACACACAAATTTGTGTTAAGAGTGGGAAAATAGACAGGGGGTTATGAAATTAAATGTAATTATGTAATATAGGATGAATGTATAGCGAAGTAGGAAACTGAACGAAGGGTTATGAAGATAAAGCTGTGGTTATGCAACACTGGATAAGCCTATGACAGAGTATCAGAATAAACAGGGAATCATGAAAATAACATTGTAATTACGTAATGCAGGTTCAATTTGATACAAAATGAATCTATGGTCGACGAGACTTTATGATGGCCATGGCAAAGATAAAGGTTGGACGTACCTTTTTTGCACGCATAACGCTAGTTTAAACTTCTGGATGGCTAATGCTTCAGCTATATGCAGATGCCTTGATTTTACTCCCTTCGAGTGGTTTGATCGAACCATGTAGAGAATTTTGAATGAGCCCTCGAAAGGAGCTAAGTGGCTTGATTTCATGAGGTGTTCTGTTATCGAACTGAAGATGCATTTCCGTTCTCCCCTTGCAAGCCAGGCTGGGTTGTGTTTTCGAACACGTTTTACAAGCCGACGTATAGTACGGCCGATGTACTCAGCTCCATAAGAGAAAGTAAACTGGTTTACATACATTGATGTGGCCCAACGCGCCGGCTTGTCTTTTACACATTGACCAAGAAGTTTCTTGAAGGAGAAAACTATCCAAAAGTTGGCGGCAAAGTATGTTCTGTTTATGGATTTTTCGGTGAACTTTAGTGGAAAACGGGTTCCCGCTCAGATTCATAAATAAGAACATAAAGCCAAGGAACCCAAGTGAACAAAGAAAGACATTTGGGTTTATTCTCATACTCTGTCATAGGTGTATCCGGTATTACATAATCGCTCTATTGATTCTCATTGTTATTCAGCCCTTAATTCAGCCTTCGTACCTGATCTCTTTTCACTTTCTCACCCAGCTTATCTTTATGAGTTTCTATATAAAGACCTATGACAAGTACATGTGTGTGTGATGAGATAGTTCGAAATGTGTTGCTCAAAAACACCATCATGCGGTTCAGAAAATTTACGTCTTCTTATTGTTTTATTGAAGTTCATAAAGGGAACTTATTGTTTTAAACGAATGGTGAAGAATACTACTGAATAATATGAGTAGTTAGTAACTACTCATGTTGATATACAGACCAGAGTGATGTAAACTAACTACCAAATGACCATTTAAATAATTCTCAGCTGAGCAGTGAACCCAGACAAGTTCAACTCGCATAGGTGAATTTTCTAGATCAAATAAACCCGTCTTCTTAACATGAATAGTTTGTACTTTATAACCATGGATGTGTAGTTTTCAATGGAAATCCTGTCCACACCAATAATTAGACAAGTGATAAAGTATTTGGATGTGAAAAATGTCAGTGTGGACTTCAAAATCTGTTAATAATTCCCAAACTGGTAATCGAATTTAAAAGGTAAGTTAAAAATATACCATGAATACAAAATCTCCAAAATATTACGTAATCATATCATGTGTGTATGATGAATAATATAGAAAGTCGCCTTACCACTAAGATGAAATTCTCCATTACGTGAATATTCTGATAAATCGACACGTCCAACTTCTGTACAATCAGGTTGAGAGGCATTGATACACTGTAGTTGAAAGTTTATTTGATCACCATAATATGTCCAACTACCGAATTTCATTATACAACTCTGTATGTACATATAATTAATATGAAAAAATTTTACAGTAATTTAGACTACTGAAATATTTTTAAGTAGTAAGCTTTGTTTATGCACATTTTCTAACAGTCTAGTTACTACTTTTAAAAACTGAGAAGAATTTGACTTCATAATGTTTTTCACGTTTTTAACAATAGTAGTCATTTTTATATCCAATATATACATATATGTACACTGGTATTCGAAAAGACTAAATCATACTAATTCGATCCCAGTTTCGGTGGTTTTGTTCACTACTTGAATGTAGGAATATTGATATTCAGGAAAAAGATCAGGACCAAGGCTGTCGATAGAATTGACCTAAACGAGTGGAAAATACATTTCTGATGTTATTGAATCCGCATTAAATTTATCATTAACACTCTAAGCTATCTAACTTTAGACTATCCGTAGAACGTTAAAAATTCGATAACTCATAGAAATCGATTTATGTTTCTTATTCAGTTTTACACAACAGCCAAGCGCTGACGTCTCCAACTTCAACACTGATTGATGTAATTCACTCCCTTACGGCTTCCAGAAATGCCTGACTGATAAGTGGTAACAAACACAAAATGTAGGTATAGTAATGATTCTTGTCAGTGGTGACCAATCATCTATCATTAATCAGAATAATGTGACTTGAACCATTTCATAAAGTATCATGTACGTCTTTACGTATATACATTGACAATCATACTGGATCACGCAGGAAACAACTGTGAGGAGAGAGAAGAGTAGCATACGCTGGCTGTTTGACTGATGGAAAGACCTTAGGAGATTTGGATTTCACCCATCATCATTTATGTCTAATGTTTTATGTCGCAGAAATTCGAAGATGTACAGGCGAAAACCAACAAGTTGACAGAAGAGGCAGGACAGCGAAGATGGGACTTCAAGTGAATATAGAGAAGACAGAGGTGATGAAGATACCCAACGAACAACAACAACAATAATAACAGGGACCATCAATTGGGAGAAATTTGAATGAAGTTGTCTCTTTCACCTACCTATCTACCTACCAACCTACCTGCCTACCTACCTACCTACCTACCTACCTACCTACCTACCTACCTGGATAGCATCGTTACAACTACAGGCGCCACAGACACAGATCAGGATGTGAAAGCCAACATTGGAAAGTCAGTAAGACAGGTCTTCCTACATTAATCTGAAATAATCAGTGTGAAGATCTACTGCACTCAGCACAGAGAACAATATCTGGATTTTCAACACCAACGTCAAGTCAGTGCTTCTATGTGATGGCTGAGAGACTTCACGCGTTCATAAAAGCATTTCCAACAAACTGCAAAGATTCATCAACAGCTGCTGCGTACGCTCACTGGATAGTGAAGATGAGATGAGAAGACCAGAAAGAATAAGCAAGATGGAACTCTGATCTGGTAACGAACCAACCAACACTGAGAAGACCATTTGAGGACATCACGCGTCAGGCTAGGTCAGGCCATCGAGTGGGACCAAATGGGAAACGAGAATTTGGGAGTCCGAGGGTGATATGGAGATCATGTGAGGAAGAGATGAAAGCTTGAGGGTTGAAAAGACTGAAGAGAAGAAAATGAAATGGTGATATGCTACTGAAGTTCTATGTTCAACTAGGAACCCAAGGGAAAAGTAATAATGATAAAAAAAAGACACTACAGTAGATTGACTGAAGTTTTGTCTTCTCTGACGATACAATGACATCTTTTCTGTCAAACAGAATAATCGCTTGATTACCTGTTCATCGAATGGAAACCATAGAATGTCTATATTACATGTTGATTTAAATAATCCAGGCGGCATCCATTGAACAGTACCATCATGTTTGATAATTGTATTAGTTGGAAATGTACGATCAAATTTCTCATCCGCACTGAAATAAGATAAGAAGAAGAAGAAGAAGATTAGCTATGAATAAAGTAATGTATACATCAACAAAGTTATAGATATAGTCTACCGATGTATTATCCACTGTTCCAGGATAAAATATTTCTTTTTATTTCATCAATGGCATACCATTAAACTGTCATCTTTAAAAAATATACACTAATTTATCGATTCATCCTGAACTTAGAGAATAATTATCCTAAAATGTACATAGAATTCTTTGATATATACATTATTGGCATAAGAATGATACTCTAATTTACCTTATAAAAACGCCAGCGAGAAATCTCAGAAACTGTTGTGATGTCTCAGTTTTGTATAAAACATTGTTATTGATCGGAACATTTTAATGTGTCATTCCCACATCGTCTTGGCGGTATGACTAATAGTATAAGGGTTTTTATATGATACCGTTGTAGATTGAACCGAATTGATCGTCTGTATTAGCACATGGGCTCGTGTGCAAATGCCTGGATATTACCAGCAATGTGATTATGTTAAGGTTGGATCGTGGCTAGCAGTGGAATCCAGGATGCGCATTTCGTCCTGTTTGGGACTCGTCAGCTGGATGTACCTGCTTCCAGGGAGTGATGTTGTTCCCACCGGAATTCGGACCAGGGGCAATCGCTTCAAACGCCAGCGCGTAATCCACTACACCACCGAGCCATGACTATGACTAATAGTCTATTTTCTGCCTCCATTGTAATGTAATTCGCTGATTGGTTAACTTTTACTCTTACTATGAGAATTTCTCCAAATGCGGACAAAGTCAGTTCTCACGTGTATACTTATTCACGTGTTTTGGATTGATTCATTATTATATTCTCGGAGTAATACACTCTTCCATCTACCAGCTTCGGTCTTCTCTCTATTCGTCCCGGGGTTGCAGTCAGTGACTCTTGCGTACCAAGTTAGCTGTCAGCTAAGCGTGCGTATTATATTCGTTCGGAATATATACATATACCATTAGAGCCCTCGAAACCATAACAGAAACGTACACCTAACGATAAGTTCTTCTCAAGTTAGTTAAAAATTGGAAATTCTTATTTGATGATCTCCTCTTGAGTGACTAAGATGAAAAAAAATTTGTTATTCTAAATAGTAGAATTTCAAGTATGATCTGACTATCAGAGATAGCCTCATCCAAATTCTAAAGAAAATGAAGTATGAGTCTATTATCAGCCACGAAACTATTCGAGCAGAGAAGAGAGTGAAATGGCAACGTGCAAATGAAGTCCTATATTCCACTAGAAACCAAAGGGATGAATAATAATAATCGTAAAGTATGATGTGACACCAAGGGATACTACTGATTTGTTGAATAAATTTAATTTTTCTTTTAGTTTATCGACAGGTAATATATCGATGAGATCCTGTTAAGTATAGAATTCAACTTTTCAAATATGATGGATGAAACCTATCCAACATCTTTATTAAGATGATTAGATCGTTTCTTACAGTTTCGGTTAGGTCTTTAGCTGACTCTAGTTTCTGAAATTTCCTTTCATCTTGTAATATTCAATTCATTTTCCTCATGTAATCATCTTTTTTCCATAATTACAGCTCCAGCTAACTTTATCATTTCTAAGGATTATAATGTTCTGAGTTTTTCTGAGTCTTAGGAAGTTCGCTAGTCATGTATTGATTGGTCAGGAGAGTGAAACCAATTTCATGTTGTCTAGTTCTCAGTGCAAACCGAATTCTATACATCATATTTGCAATGTGCCAACCAAGCTAGGAAGCTGAGCATCGTGGTGCACATAAGTAGATGTTAGTTGGTTAGAGGTAATCGGCAGAAAGCCTTGGACCTAGGTTTTGTGCTTTTTGGCACTCATCAGCAAGGCGTATCTGCAACCTCGACAGAACTGACGAGTGCCTAAAAGCCCGAAAGCTAAATCAGGCGGGGCTTCCTGCTGATAACCTCTAACCAATCAACAAATTCTCCAGTCAGTATACCTCTTGGCACATTTATATCGATTTTATTCTGATAGCAGTAAGCCACTAGAGTTGATTTAATTCCTTTAGTATTACACTGAAATAGCTATGAATCTACGAATCTACCGAAAAGAAATAAACTCAACTTTTGAAGAGTTTCGAACAGTGAAACTCCACAATCCAAATAACTTTTACCCTAATTCATCTCTTAATTTAAACGTATAAATGAGATTTTTCAAAGTCTACATTTTCCTACACAAGTCAAACAAGCGGTTAGAGATTTCCTTGACTAACATCAGGTTCTATTCTGTCCATCATTCACCGATTATCAGCTAACATTGAGCGATGGTGTAGACAGTGGCTAAGCATGTGCTACACACGTTCTAGTCGACTGTCAACGTGTTGGGTCAACTTAACCAAATATTTGACTAAACAACAGTAAGGCATTATGAATTCACATAGTAGTCGGGCAAAACGCCACTTGTTATACAAGTGAAATAAAACTCTGGTCAGAAGTCAGACCTCGTAGCTCAATTGATGAAACATCGAACCGGGGACAGGGTGGTCGATGGTTCGAATCCGACCACGGTTCAAATTTCCACTTCACCGTCAATCATCACTCAGTATAAAGACTAATCTGCCAAATCATGGCTGCTATCTCAGATAGCCGAAACAATAATCACTACGATGCTCCCCCAGTCTAATTTAGTTGGGATGAGAAGTCTTGACTGCGGGTAGTCAGTATGAATACGACTAAGCGGTAATAACACATCACGAATTCACATAGTAGTCGGTGTAAGAATGCTGGCCAGCCGTTGGACCTTGGATCTCAGTTGATAGAGCATTGAACCGGATACCCGGTAGTTGCTGGTTCGAATCCGACTACGGTACAAAATTCTCACTTCACCTTCAATCATTGCTCAGTATTAAAAAAAGTACTTGTTCATTTTTATTCAATTAGCTTTTACTATGAATTATCCTGAAATTGAAAAAAAATCATCAGATCCACTTACCAATTGTACAATAGTATATCTGGCCGCCAAACAGCCGTATACGGTAGATTTAAAGTAGTTATATTGCCAAATTCTTTAGGATTCCACAGGAAATGATAATCACTCCATGTCTGGATACAAAAATGCAAAATAAATATAAACAAACAGGTGGGTGTTTAAAGATGACAAACTTTTGAAAGAAAGTTATTATTTGAGTATATTATTATCATTATTATTTGTCCCTTGGGTTCCTAGTCGAACATATGGCTTCAGTTGCACGTCTCCATTCCACTTGCTTCTTTACAATCTTTTCAACCTGGCTCCACCACTGCCTACAACCTCTTATTTCTTCCTCAATGTCACCCTCACCTCAGACGCCCAACTCGCCGTTTCCCATCTGGGTTCCACTCGAGAGTCTGGCCTGACGCGTGATGTCCCCAGTCGGTCTTCTCAGTGTATGCCCATTCCATCTCCACTTCCTTCCAGTGCATATTTGTTGAGAGATAGGTTCTTGATTGGTTCGTTGCTAGCCAGCCAGAGTTCCTCCTTGCTTATTCTTTCTGGCCTGATCATCTGAGCTTCAGTGAGGAGCCAGTGTAGGCAGATGTTGATGAATATCTGTAGTTTGTTGGAAATGCTTTTCGTAACGCGCCAAGTCTCTGAACCATATAACAATATTACATGTAATAATGACGAGATAATAACAATCTTTATTCATTCATTAGATGACCCAAATGAAAAACAGTTTGATAAACAGTACAGGTCACTTTTTCTATCCTATCTCATCGTAACCCAGCCGCATCTCTCATCTTTCTCTAACCATCTAGTATAATATAGGTCACAAAAAAGTCATATCCATCATGTTACATATTCTAGATACAGTATGTTGGATGAATAGTGAATATTGTAATGTAAAGTTAAGTGTTGACCTCTAAACGAAAACCAAACAGAAGAAAATGAACAGGGACATGAAATGGGGTGTGAGTACAACTGAAGAAACTGGCAGTGATGATCTGTCAGTAGGAAATCGTCATTTTCTCATATTATTATTATTATTATTGTTTCTCTCATCAACATCATCTGTTCTCTTCCTTGACTATTTTGTTAATGATATGTTTGGCATAGAAAAACAGAGAAAGGGGTGCGTACACACACATACACATAGTAAGAACAAGTTAGGTTCATTCCTGTTGGTGTCGTTAACTTCTCTTCGTTTTTCTTAAGAATGTCAGGTGAAAAACGATTTAAATAATTAGTTTTTCATATTTCATATCACTTCAATTTTCTCTTGTTTAACCTTTCTCCGTAATTATAGTTAAATGAATGAAGTTCAGTTCACTAATATAACCTTATATATAATTTGAAAGTTATTTTAAAGGACACTCCACTTTACAGAAAAACATGTATATCTTATGAGATAACGAAGACAATAGTAATTTGTCTCCAGATAAAGTCAGTTAAGTCACGTGTGAGGACAAATCCTTATCGATGATAATGAAAATTATCATATGACTATATGAGATAAACCTGTCGCTCAACAAATATGCACTGAAAGGAAGTGGAGATGGAATGGGTATACACTGAGAAGACCATTCGGGGACATCATGCGCCAGACCAGGCACTCAAGTGGAACCCAGATGGAAAATGATGAGTTGGGAGTCTGAGGTGAGGGTGACATGCAGGAGATGGTGTGAGGAAGAAATGAGAGGTTATGGGCATTGGTGGAGCCAGATTGAAAAGATTGGAGAGAAGAGAGTGGATTTCAGGTAGGAAAATAATGATAATAACAATACTAATGCTGGGTGATGATTGAAGGTGAAGTGGAAATTTGGGCTGACTACCATTTCCTTCTAAATGCAGAGGTTTGGTTTGGCAACTTGAATCACGCAGGCTTCTCTAATTCCAAGCAATTTCTTATTTTTCTATCTACTGATAACTATTAAATGTTTCCTTATCAATCTCCTGAGAGTCTTCTTCTCGACATGCTTCAACCATTTGGCTAGGTGCTCAACGATTGTTTAATTCGTTCCAATAAAGTTATTTTGTTTAACTGAGGTAAAAATGGATATTGAACGGCTGGTCTGCTAAGGTTAAAGTGATCAACTAGGTTGGAAATACATACGCCTTGGTATTATATCTAATTTCATAGTGATATTATTTATGAATGGATTATTCATAGTGTAGTTTAAAATGTACACATCATTTATCTCTAGTGTTGTATTGATTATAAATGGGACTGGATTCCTACATATATCCCGTCGAATGGAAAGATGCAAGCCAGTCTTACAGGAGATCAATCACAGCCCGAACAACTCAGTGATAAAGTCACTGACTACAACACTGGGTGATGCGAGTTCGAATCTCAGGTGGGACATCAGTTCCATCGAGGTTGCAGATACACCTTGCTGACGAGTGTCAAAAAACAAGAAACCGAGGTCAGGCAGGGCTTCCTGCTGATTGCTTCCAACCAACTAACATCTACTAATATGCACCACGATGCTCAGCTTCGTAGCTTGGTTACCACATTCCAAATATGATGTATAGAATTCGGTTTGCACTGAGAACTAGACAACATGAAATTGGTTTCACTCTCGTGACCAATCCAACACATAAAAGATGTTATCCACAAGGTTACCGAGCCTGAGAATTAAAACAAGAAAACAAGTGATTAACATTTTGACTATCTGAGATAACAGCCATGGTTTGGCTGACTAGTATTGATACTGAGTGATAATTGAAGGTGAAATGAGAATTTTAACCTTAATCAACATGATGCTCCCCTCTGTAATTCAGTTAGATTTCGATTGGGATGAGAAGTCCTGACTGTGGTCAGCCAGTTCAAGTACAATCAAGTGACAGTAACACGTTACAAAACTCTGTGATTGAGGTGAAATACAAATGTGGTCAGTAGTCGAACCTCACAGTTCACTTGGTAGAGCATCGGAATGGAAACCCGGTGGATACTGGTTCGAATCCGACCACGGTTCAAATTGTCACTTCACCGAGCAAGAATACAAATTGTTGAAGTGTGCTAAATAGAATAAGATATGCATCCTGTCTATCTCCACTATCCAGTATTCATCTATATCAAATCAGAAAGGTTAGATTCCATTTTAGATTTGTTTATTTGATTTATAACACAGAGTGTGATGCAGTGTTACCTATTTGATGACGTTTCAAGCAGAAATTATTATTGTTCATAATCATATCAATGTCATAGAAAAGAGATAATGCAGTGAAGAAACATTCTCTCTTTCGATGATATCCTTCTTCTTAAACTGTACAATCATATTCATGTATATATCATAAACATATTACAGTCTATTATAAAACAACAGGTAGAATTACATCATTAACCTAGTGGTAAATAGAAACCCGAACCAAGAATGCAAAGTAGTTGCGTAATCATCTATTAGACAGTAGTAGAAATATCGAGGAAGACGAGGAGTTTGACAAGGTAAAAATTGTTTGTAGATAAGATACGCAAATATTAAGTGTCCACTTGACAGATAGATAGATATATAGATGGATTTAAAGAAGTTGAAGAATGAGATAAGGGTCATAATGAAGGTGATAGTAATAAACTAATTAATTATTACGATATCGAAGACATTATGAAAGTGTTAAGACCATGGTAAGATTAGAGACTGAACATAGTCGTTTTGCACGCAGAGATATGTGTCGACAAATTTACTTGCTCCTTTCTGTGGAGCTAGTTATATAGGCCGCACAAAGCGCACTCTTTTCAAACGTATCTAGGAGCACTATCCTGCATGGTTGTCGTGCAGTGATTGTAAATCAAGTGACAGTTCAATTCTTGAACATTTAGTTAACTCTAAACACATGCAGCCCGACCACAATCCTTCTTAAGTGTCATTTATCGTGTCAGATGGCATAGTTCAAAAGGAGTACAGACAGTTGTGCACTGCGGAGGCACTGGCAATTCATCAATTCAAGCCCGATCTCTGCGTACAAAACAAGTATATTCACATTGTAAAACTCCTTGCCTTCCTCGATATTTCTACTACTGTCTAATAGATGATTACGCAACTACTTTGCATGCTTGGTTCGGGTTTTTATTCACCACTAGGTTAATGATGTAATTCTAGCCTATTGTTTTATAATAGACTGTAATATGCTTATGATATATACATGAATATGATTGTACAGCTTTCGAAGAAGGATATCATCGAAGAGAGAGAATGCTTCTTCACTGAATTATCTCTTCCTGATAACTCAATGGGCATGTTTCGTAGTCATATTAATGTGTAATCACACTACTTTCGACATTTGATCTTTATAGTTATGTCACCTCATGTGATTTGTTTTTATTGGTAGCGAAATTTTCTGTATCTCTGGTATGCATGGGTGTTGCGTCATTTCTATTACATGTGTTGACTGCTGGTTCATTCGAAGAATAAAGATTCAGTGATCCATCTCTCTCTTCACCTAATTATATTAAACTTAAGTACAATGGCTTTATCCACCCTGTTGTATGGTTGTGTGTTAATGCATGCATAGCAATAGCCAGGTTCTTTCTAGATCATTGATCTTATTTAGGTCTGTTATTGTATATTTAGCTAAATTCCTATGTTCCGCTATTCTAACTAACCCCGACCGACTAGTATGACGTATGTACTTGACCTGACCACACAGTCATTAAATGGAATTCGATAGATTAGATTATTTTGCCTAGTTGGTTCTATCGGATCCTTAAGCCAGCGACGAAGTTTATCTCTGAGTGACTCTGTAGGTTTAAATGTCACCATAACTAATTTCAGCTGTGTTGAGGATTCTACGTAAAGTTTCTGAGGTACCCTCCTTATAGGGTAATACAATGGAGGCTGTGAACTCCTTTTTTCTCATGTTGTCGTTCTCATTAGTCGAACTTATGTGACTGTTATTATTTTTTTTGTGTGTCTGTAAGAATTTCTTCATAATTATTAACTATTAGCGCCTTTTTACGTGTTTAAATCCTTGTTTAGGTTCCTGTTCTGACTAGTCAGTTTTCTAGCTCTATCAATTAGACATTTGACTTATCCTGCCTTAACTGACATTGGATAGAATGGATTTGAAGTCTAGATACCTGCTGGAATGTGTCGGTTTTATGTAGACAGTTTGTTAATTATGA